GCCCAGAAAGCAGGCGGTACCTACAAAGTAGCACGTGGCAGAGAAAGGGCTTCAACGTGCACTAAGAGCATAGCGCAACGCACCAAACTCATCATCGGCCACATCATCAACATCCATCAAGATAAGGGTGACAGCAAATCTCTTTTTGTGGGAATGAGACATGCCGGTCAGTGTTCATGCCTGCTCCACTAACATTCGCAGCATACAGTCTCTGCTGCAGCTTCAGATGCCCAGGAGCTCCAAATGAGTAGCTATGCTGTCTTTCGGATACGAAGATTAGGTTCAAGGCTGCAGCATGACAGAGAACCCGAGAGAACGAGACAGGCGCGGCTCCGTTGTTTTTAACATGTATGGAGCGCGGTGGGGTCCAACCGATTTCGTCCCATTGGACTCTGTACAGCCGGATGGACCTGACACGTTCTAACACACCACGGGCTCCAGAATTTGCTGCTCGCTTCAAGGAGTTTCCAGATATCTCCAGAACTACTCCAGAATTCAGCATTTAGCCTGCCAGTCGCGGCTAGCAGAGTCTAAGCAAGGACGTCGAGCTTTTCTTCATATCTTGAACCTTGTGTCTTTGAACAGGAAGCCTGTCGTCCCAGCGTCTCACCAGCGCACCCTTTTGTAAGAATGCACCAGAGAAACTGGGGATCGAGAACTTAAATGATTGTTCTGGCTGCTGTCCACTGTCATGCTGCCACCTCAGCTGCGCCGCTGGTACCATCAAAAGCCGTGCTTTCGGCAGGTCTCAGGTCACTGCGTCAGTCTGTAAGCCCAGGCTTCTGGTCGCCAAACGTGTCCTGGGGGCGCTGGCTTACACGTAATGGGGCCACTCCTGAGCAGCAAGCAGCCGCAGCACATCCGTCTACATTTTGCCTTGCAGGTCCTTGATTGCATCCTTCACAGGGCAAACTTGTCCCACAGGGTCAGAGCTCATAAAAAAACACGCGCGTGCGAGGCTCGGAGATCACGCCTTGACAATCTGCGCACCCACCTTGTGATGACAGCTCATTACGGAAGTTCCGTTTACCGCCTCGGCACCAAGAATTCAAAAGGCATGAGAGATGCAGATGAAGCCTTCTACCGCGGAATGAGGCGCAAGCTGCCAAGAAGTTGGCTACATATTTGCCCTCGAAATGGAGAAAAGACATGTAAGCTCCCATCCTAGAATTTGAACCAAGCGGCTGCCAGCACCCATCCTGGCTGAACGTTCAATCCGAACTCCGTCACAGCACCCGTCTCATTGATGTTCGCAACCTGTGCTTACGTGGAACAAAAACCTTGAAGAAGCTGACTGAGGCCATGCACAACTCGGCCTTGAGAGGCGACTGCTTGTGGGCAAGGCGGAAGCCCAGCGGCGCTTTTGGGAAGGCAACTATGACCTCTTTGTCATCCTCAGCCAAGCATGGCCAATACATGCTCTCAGCCAACGCTGGCATGAACCGGGAAAAATCATGATCTGCGTGAAACCGTGAAACCATCTCTTTTGATCGCCCATCGCCTTTGCTGCGCAGATTTCAATTACACGGCAGCATGCCTTGTACGTTGCCGAGGTCTTGGTGGCCAAACCTCAACACACCCTCAAAGCCACACGTCCGTGGAACGGTCACCTTTGGTTATATCGCGCCATTCAAGTGCAACAAAGCCAAGTGCAAACAAGTAGAGGCGAACCTTTCTGAAGTGGGAAAAGGACACGGGCGGAGCGAAGCACATCAAACATGCACATCATGAGCAGGGTCCTCTGTTCGGAATGTCAAGCTCAAGGTCTTTCCAGGCCTTGCGCCGGACCATTTTCTACTACAGAACTGGGGAAGTCTTTGCTGCAGCACAGGAACCATTCTTCAGACAAGCCGACAGAGCCAGCCTCAGCTGTAGTGTAACCCCACAGTGGACGTGTTCCCTGATCTGCCCCTTCAGTTCGGCACCCCATCTGCACCACGAAGGGTGGGGTCCTGGCGCCCACATGCGCGCTCACATGTTGTGTGACCCGCGTCCTGTTGTGCGAGTACGCGGTCCCCACAAACGCAGCAGGAATTGCCCATGGCAGCCACGATGAGTCTCGAGCCAATGGGTGGATGCAGGCAGACTCTGAAAAATCTGCAAGCTGGCACAGCAATCGACCATCTGCATGATCTCAATCAAACAAGGGGCACAGCATCATCCTGCTGGTCAGCAACTGCCTCTGCCAAAGCAAGAAGAATACGCGTGAACAAGCCAGTAATTCGACGGCCCGGACCACGAGCAGCTCTGCGATGTTGGTGCGCTGTTCTTTGCTTAGCCTTCGACGGCAGCTGCAAGAACTCTTCATACACGATTTATATGATTTATGAGCTAGGGCCTGCAACATGCGCCGTAATCAATGAGGCCAAGCTTGCCATCGGGCATCATGAAAACCTAAAGTAGCGCGACAGTCCAAGACTCCATCCAAGCATGGTGGGTCCTTGAGTGCAAACTCTCGTGCAAAATCCAGGTGTGAGAAAGAGGAGCGCATGCAAGCAAGCAGAGGCCCAACCAAACCCACATTTCTTTTAGGCCTCCCCCTGTATGGTTTCAAGGCATTTTGGAAGCATCGCCTAGAACTACATAATCAAATTTAATTACTTTTTCAAGAAACCAAATGCCCGACTAACTGCTTTGAGTTTGGCATCTTGAGACTAGCTTCAAAGAATCTGGTTATACATAACTTGTTTTTTCTCCATTGTCCTTGTGCCTGCAGTTGTTTTTTCGAGTTTTAAGGTGCGCGAACTTCCGTCGACTTAGGGTTGCCTTCTGATCTTATCACAGCACTTATTGCAATCATTGCGCATTTCAGTGAACAATTCCACTGCCTTGTCTTTCGGGCAGCCTGAACAATATTACTTTTCCATGCGCACCTACACAGCTGTACCATCTATGCTTCGAACCCTCTTCCTCAGAATGCTTGAACAATCATACCTAACCATCTCCCAAATACTCCTTAAAACAATCCCATATCCAAGCTACTCGCCAAAATTAACACCATCGTCCGAGCGTAGTCCAAAACCTATAGTACCCAACTGAAGTAAGGTCTGGTGTCTCAACCCTCCTTCTAGAAGAACTCCCCATACAATCTATAACCCCGTCTTCGGGCACGCAGCGCCGATGTCTACATAGACTTTTGTATTGCAAATGATGATAATTCTTGGTTGATCAGTTGTTCTTGTTGACTTTCTTGTCTCATAATGCCTATCACCCTCGAATCCAATAGCTCAACAAAGTCTTGTTCCATCAATTAATTACATAGCTAGTTCACGATTCCACAAGTGTTCTCCACTTTGTGCGGTATGTAGGTTACTGCCTTCATACCTTTAGTCATTATCAAGCTCAAGTCCTTGTTCACTGCGGATTCCTCAAGCGACATGTTGTGTTGGTAAATCACGTGCATGCGTGCTTTAGCATACATGTGTACAGTATACATTGCTTCTCCAGATATTTCTTGTCAACTACGGCTTTATGAGAAGGAACCCTGTCGCCTGAATTAGACCATTTTCATATATTCCAATTTGTCAAGTATCTTTCAAAGCTTGTTGCCGTTCTCTCATCTTCACGGGCTCATGCCCGCATAGAATCTTAATAGAAGTTTGGATGAAGCTGCACAGTTTTTATTTACTACCGTTGCATTTATGCATGATATCTTCAACATTCAAACGAAATCACAAAAGTACTCATTTATCACGATCATAGTTGATATAAAGATGTCTTCTAGACACATTACCACAACTGGGTGGCTTTGCAATCAGAACTATACAGTTCAATCCCTTACTAGTAATGCTTTAACGAAGAAAGATAGGACGTACTGAATCATAAGTGATTACTCCTACAGTTGAAACGGTCAATATATTAAAGAACATGACTTTAGACAATATCTAAATGCAAAGAAACACCAAGACACAGCAAGACTACCGACATCTATGATTATGTCTGCTCCGTGGGGCTCTGGGAAAACACGTTCATTGCGGTCGATAAAATGCAATGCGTGTAGGAATTGCTTTGCCCGAATTCTTGCATTTCGCCCTTCTATCAATGTAGATAGTGTCTGGACACCAGGACACCAAACAAGAAGTCTATAAAGATGAAATTGTTGCTTTTCGAGTCGGACAAAATGTTTCCAATCAGGGTTGGGGAGATACCTACAATAAGATGTGGGGTCAGCCTCTGCTTGCCGTCTCGTCTGTGCTGGGGTCCAGACGTTGCCAGCATGCGGATCTGAATTGAAAAGGCCAAGCTGAAAGAGTTCGTATCCGTGCACTTCATACAGCAGCCTGAAGTGAGCAGCTGGGATGAGCTGCCGAGACAACCCTGCATTGCTTGGGATGTTGCTCTCGCTGCCTGGAGAGCTTGGGGCCGTTGACCGGCACCGGGATGCTCTGCCGGGCCCACTTTGGTGCGCTGACCTTTTGGAAGTGACAGGGTACATGATTGCAAACCATATATCAACTTCGAAGCAATACCAGGTGCGACATCAATTCTTCATGTCCATCTGTCGGCTTTTCTCCGGGCGACTGCCGCACGTGAACTATGTTCAGGGTAGTCGGTCCCTCCCCTTGAGTCAGCCACACAGGTTCCTTTCATGCGGCAGGTCAGCTGCCTTCGATCTTGAACTAAGCATTTTTTGGTGCTAGTTGCTACTAGTTGGTGCTAAGCGGAGCTGTGCACAGCGACTCCACTTCAGATTGGGGCACCGCATGCTGTGGGGACCCCTTCCCACTTGCGGCACACGTCTCTACACGTCTCTACTCTATGCACAAGAACAAGAGCGCCAAGCTGCAGCAAGCTGCAGGATGCAACATCCAATAGAGGAATGCAGTGGTCAGAATGCAAGGCCACAATGGTGAGTGACACTTTGGATGCTGGTGTCCATTGGAGGGGCATGGCCATGCAAATCCTCAGAGCCTGCTACCAGTTAAAATTAAAGCACTTTGCGCACATGCTGCATCCCAGTACTGGGGAACAGCATGATCCTACTTTGGGCACGAAGAGCTCTACAGAGTGAACTCGGAAGGTCGGTAGAACTCATAGTTCCAAATCTCCCAGAAATTGTGCTGCGTCTCACAGTACCTCAGAAGAGCCACAAATAAATTCCATCATGAACATCTCCAGCGCCCACCCGGCTTGACTGCAAGCTGGGCACTTGCAGTTGAAGGCCATTGCATCATCTTGCCTTTGCCCATCTCCTGCCAAGCAAGAAAGAGATTCTCGGGGCGGAGCCGTAAAAAGCAGATCGGCCGTAACAGGTCCTGAGCGGCACCGCTCGAAGAAAGGCTCGACCTCATGCTGCATGTTCTTGGGGTGTGAGACGCAAGCAGTGTTCTTGCAGGAGATGTCCTGCAGAACTTTGGCTTGGCAAGATGCAGGGCACGCCGCTCTTACAGGAGTCCTTGAAGTTGTAAACCCGCGGAGGAACTTGAAGCCGGAACTCGCGCTCCACGGCACCCTCCTTGACCACCTTCAAGGTACTTCCTGGAGCCATTGCTGCCAATCGCCTGGGTCATTGCTTTGGCGCAGGCAACTTTCCCATGTGTCAATGCATATTCAACTCCTCTCCGAGCCGGGTGGCTTCAAAGGTTGCCTGTCCCAGCTGCTGATGTCAACGTCCGGCACGGCAATGAAACCACTGCCGGTGCCTCCATGCGCTTGCACAAACTTCAATTCAACATGATGGTGGAGAGATTTGCATCGATCTGCAAGGCTTTAAATGGACAGCGGGAGTCCCAAATACGTTGTTGAGCAGCGAGAACCCAGCAATCCCCACCGTTCATCGTCACCGTCGCCATCACCACTATTTCAAACAAATAGTTTTCAATGTTGAGTTGATTTCAAATTACTAAAACTTCAGTTTGTATTCGAACTTCTGTTGTAAGAGTGCCGGAGCTTCTGTCAAAGTTTCTGCTAGAGCTTTGCTTCGGGCTACGGAAACTGCACTTAAATTCTAGCAAGGTTGTTATTCTCTGCCTGTCAGCCACGCCCAGGCCGAGCGAATATCGCAAGGGTTTGCCCATCGCTTCTCGGACAACACAAAGATTGCAATCGCCAGGCTGCAGCGCCACCACTCTGTGTCGGTCCTCACCCTAAAAGTTCAGGCCTTGCAGAAGAAGATCAGGATCAGTGCTGGATTTCCCGTGAAGATTCTCTCACACTCCAACATGGCATCGTCAGCCAGCTGGTGGTGTGCAAATTGCAGGCTTCATCGAAAAGCCAGCGATTCATTCTACTCCAAATGTGGGGAGACAGCACAGCGAAGCTAACAATCTGGTGGTGCGTGGTGTGCAGATGGGTGGCACCCCAACAATCATCAAAGGCCGAAATCCCCGCGGAGAAACCAGTTTGGTGGTCACAGCAACCGGCAGAAGGATTCCAGCTGGCAAGGAAGTTGGGGAGATCAATGGTGGGGACAGGCAGAGCCATCCACGACAGAACCATCACCCCGTGGCAGACGGCGGAAATCACCAAGGGCGAGGAAGACAGAAGCTGGCAAAGGTGGCAAGGGCAAAGGAAAGGACAAGATGCCAGAGGTGCAGAGTCTCCAGCAATGCCGATGCCGAAAGCCAAAGCTATGGCAGCTCCCAAGCCCACAGCTCCTGTTGTACCTCCTATGGAAAGCGAGGACAGCAAGGCCCTGAGGCATATGATGGAGCAGCTGAGGCAGAATCGCGAAGAGCTGCCTGCCAGTTTGCACCAAATGATAAATCAGAAGGTCAGGCATCACAGGAGTCTGCCACAAAGCGCTTGCACAAAGCCGGACAAAAAGGCACGGGCCAAATTGAGGCTCTGAAGGTTGGACTCCATGTCATCCTGGCCTATTTGGACAAGGCTCAGATGTTGCAACAGCAGTGCCAAGAGCAAGACAAAGTCTTGGAGGATTACGACTCCAAGGAGGCAGTTCGGCATCAGCAACTGCAGGAGTCAACAGAAACCACATCAAGCCTAGCGATGGACAGGGTCACCGCAACCGAAATGATGGAGGCATCGGACATTTCTGACGGGGAGGGTTTTGAAGAGCCGCCCGACCAAAAGGCCAAAAAAGAGGCAATGAGGGCAGCTCTACAGCAACAGCGGGACAAAATGAACAAGTTCATGGATATGGCAGATACCAGTGCTGTGTAGACGCTCGCAGAGGAACAGGAGGGCAGAGAGCGCGCGCCCCGACGGCGGCAGCCAACAGAGTCAATTTTGGTGCCGTCACCCATCAAGGATGCCAAGGAAGAACGAAAGCAAGTCATCAATAAGCCTGGAGACGAGGCTCATGCGACCCTCCAGGCGTTTGATGCTGTCAGACGGTTCAGCAATAGGCAGGCGGGACGAGTACCCAGCAGAAGGATGCAACAGTTTGGGAACTGTTGGACGACATTCTGTTGAGGCCGAACACGACTATGTGTCTCCATGGCTAGCGACGCTTAGCGCTGTGCGACACGCATTTGTCGTTGAGTGTAATACCCAGGATTAGGATCTCGAGCTCATTGATCCCAGGTTACCTCTTGAGGCGTCACGGCATGAGAATCGGTTGGGTGGGGTCCAACTTGTAAATGGATTCATTGCAGATGAGCTGAGCGGAGCTAGTTACATGGACAGTCGGACTAGTTCAGCGCCAGCAGCTGAAATTAACAGGGTTGTTGGACGGATGGGGAATTCGGTCAGCAACCTCCACGCTGAAAGCAAAGCTGATTGCAAGGAGCATGTTATAGGAGATGGGCTAACTGGTTTGGGCGGTGGGGCCCGCGTTTCAAGTGATAATCCACCTCCAACGCAAGATATCGCAACTTGTCTAATGGAACCGAGTAGCTGTACGGATTGGACGGAGCATGGAAGGAAACCACACCACCATGCCGACAATACCTCAAATACCCCTGTCCGAGATTCTGGAGACAGTGGTAGTGTTCTGCCCAAGATCAAGTGTGGGCATGATGCTACAAATTTTGGCCTGAGCCAAGCTCGGCTCACTTCATTTTTGAATGATTCAGTCATGCGTGCTGAGTCCAGTTGCGCTGAACTTGCGGAGATCTGTTGTAATCCTCCTCACATCGCTGGGTTGGCCAATACGTTGGAGACTCGGATGCCATTTGAAGGGGAGGCGTATCAACACGTAGCTGAACAACCTGATGGTCCCATCGTGCTTGAGTTGGATGTACTTGTTCCATGTCCACGTAGGCTTGAATACTGGCCTCCTGCAACATGCTTGAGGATCTGATAGAGGGACATAGAGTGAATCAGCTCCATTGGCAATTGCCTGCTTGGCCGCACTTGCATGTTGACGTTCAGGCTGCATTTGCTACTTGGTTGCATGCTGATGCTGCTGATTGGACTCTAGCTTGCAAGTTGCACATTTGTACTGATGGGTCACATGATCCACAGATCAGCAAGCCGCTTGGGCAATAGCTTGTGTCATTGAGCATGCAGATGGCAAATGGAGTTGAATTGGCGCGTTGTCTGACATATGCGACGAAGATGGATTGTGCACTTGCACTTCTGGAAACTGCAACGACGCTTCTGTCCCGCAGGTTGTTGCTTTGATGAGAGCAATGTTAGTTGCACTTGCTTCGCGCCTTGAGACTGTTGTTCATTGCGATTGCCAGAGCGCCACAGCAGCAGCGCTTGGACAGACGAGTTGCAGCATGCCTTTAGTCAAAAGTGCAGTTGGGCTCAATGAGTTGTTGATTCGGAGTGGAATTGATATCCAGATTTGGTACATTGAAGCGCATGCTGGGCACGTGCTCAACGAGTGCACTGATGGTCTTGATAAATTGGCATGCCCGGGTTGGCGGTTCATGCCCAACTACAGCTACTTTGATGCGGTCTTGCAGGACGGTATAATGACTTGGTTATGGCTTGCTCAAGCTAGTGAGCATGCTGACAATCGGTGGCCACACATTGATCAAGACACTGGATCATCTGCTGGCGTTGTGGATTCCAGTGTTGGAGTTGTTGGACACTCCGTTGCACACAGCGGGATGCCCTACACCAAAGAGGCTAGTGAGGCTACGACCTCTAGGAGCTGTTTGAGTGTGATCTCGTACAATGTTACCACTTTGAAAAGTAGTGCTCAAAAGGTTGCACTTGTCAGCGCCTTACATCACCACGGCATTGATGTTGCTGGCTTACAAGAATGTAGGGCGTCGACTGATGTTGTGAGTGATACTGAGCATTATCGGAGAGTGTGTTCTAGGGGGCGCACTGGGCAATATGGCTGTGAGGTTTGGCTGTCAACACGTGCTCGATTTGATTTGACTTCGATTGCCGTGCTTTGCCAGGAGCCTCGATGCGCTTGCGTAACAGTTTCTTTTAAGGGTTGCTTGGTGGCGATTGTGAGTGGGCATGCTTGCCACTCGTATTCACCTGAAGACGAGATCGATGAGTGGTGGTGCCGACTCGCCCATTTGCTGCACCGGTTGCCCAAACAGGCTGCTCCCCTGCTGTGCCTTGATGCCAATGCTAGGTTCGACCTCGCTGCAATGGAGATAAGTCTGCCATGAACAAAAATGCGTCCCATTTGCAGGCGATGATGGACAACTGCGCTCTTGAGTGCACTTCCCATGAGGACATTTATGGCCAACGCGTCGCCACTTGGAGGAGTCCTCGTGGTTTTGAGGACAAGCTGGATTATGTTCTTGTGAGCAGGGATTGGTGCAATGCCTTTGTCATCCTTTTTCACTATAGGGGCCCGCAGGGATCTCAAATGCATTGGACCTGAGTGGGCCAAAGTTTTCCCACCTTGTCAGTCGTCGACACATCATCGCAGAGTTCGCATCAACACGGAAGCGCTCAAAAAACCCGAGAATCAGGATAAGATTGTGGGGAGATCTTCCACTCTCTTTCCCCCATCCCTTGGTTCACCAATGTTGAAGTGCATTCTGATGTCTTGCAAGCGGAACTTGCCGCTAAGCTTGCTCTGATCTTTCCTTATAAGAGAGATGGGCCAAAAAAGAATTTCCTTCAAGAAGGCTCTTGGCAGTTGAGACGTACTAGACATGCCTACAGAAGATCCCTCAGATACATTCATGACGCAATCAGGCTCATTTCACTTGACGCTATTTTCAATGCTTGGAAGCAGGGCGACAGATGCAGTCAACTGCCTCTGAGGTACCTGCTAAGGCGACGTCGTATGGTTGCTGCCCAAACAGGTCTTTTCTTGCGTGGGATCGCAGTTGAGCTCAAGATCTCGGTCAAGAAGATGAAGCGACCTACACGGAACAAGTCATTAAGAGTGCCGAGGTCGCTGGCCCTGAGCAGATGGCCAGACTTCTTAGGGGGATTCTCAAGCAGGGACGCCGTTTCAAGCCGGTTCGCAATGCGCCAGTTCTGATCGACGATGAATGGAGGTTCACGGTTGACAAACAAGAGACTAGCCAGATGCTTTCTCTTCACTTCGCTAGTGCTGAGCGAGGAGTGATCTCTACTCCGCAAGCTATTCAGAACAGTTTGAGGCCAGTTTCGGCTACCGGAAGTGAAGTCGAGACTTGACGGCGATGCCTTCTTTCCCAGACATTGTCTAGGCATGTAAAGCATGAAGGATGGTAAAGCCGCTGGAATTCTTGGTGTGCCGGCTGAAGCTTTCAAGTATGCTGCCACTTCGGCCACGCGCGCTCTATACCCCTTAGTGCTTAAGATTTTTGCTACTGCCGAATGCCCGCTTGCTAGCAGACTCAAACTTTATGCTGCTAATCCGAAGAAGGGGCCGAGTTGATTGCTGGAGGGCTATCGCGTTGCAAGAACCCATGATGAAGATTGTTGGGAAGGCTGCCCGCAACAAGCTGCTTCAATACATGCGCCCGTCCTTCAGGGCTGCGCAAGGCGGAGCGGTTCCCGGCATGGGTTTAGAAATGGCTCAGCTTCTTGTGAAAACGCACTTGAGGCGCCTTAAGCAGGAGAGGGCTAGCGGCGCCATCATCTTTGCTGACTGAGCGGCCACCTTTTATGCGGCAGTTAGGGAATTCCTTTCTGATGGGAGTTTCGACGCTCACAATGAAGGCGGGCTTATTCGCGTTATTGAGTTACTGAGTGAAGACCCTCAGACGCGGGAGCAATTGTTCACGGTGCTTTGTGGTAAATCGCTGCTTGAAAATGACAATGCCCCCAGTGTTTTGCATAGGCATGTCATGGCAGTTCTGCAGTCCACCAGTTTCACCATGGACTTGCATTCTTCCAATGTCGTTGCTACCACTACTGGTACTTGCCCAGGCATGCCCATGGCTGATCTGCTGTTTCAAGAGGTCTTCACTAGATGTCTTGCTGAACTTGAAGAGTTCATGAGACAGGATGGTAGTGGCGTCACTGCTCCGGATTGTCCGATTCGGCTCGGGAGCTTGGGCATTGACAACACACGCTGAGAAACAGTTGGTCGAGTCGTCCTACATGAGCATTTTGAGGCAGGCATGCTGGGGGATTGTTGGCTACAGCAGCGCCAGCCTGTCAGACTCTGCGAATGCTCACTCCTGTTGAAGCTCTGCATGTCGAACTAGTGAGGTTTTTGGCAAGTGCTGTGAAGCATGATTGTGCATATCTTCGTGCAGTGCTAGCTGCGGATGGCACTTGGTTCCCCGAAGTTCTCTCAGCATTTGATGCCTTGAAGCATGCGTGCTTGGCAGATTTGGTGGTGCCAAGTGCCGATGACAGTGCTGCGGTATGGCAATTCCTGAGCAGCACAACATTTCAAGGTAGACTCGTGAAATGTGCGTTGAAGCGCTACAGGAAGTGGTGCTTGCATAAACGAGTTGCCGCTGGGGATTGGAGCATGCAGCTTGCCAAGCAGCTAGCACTTGCAGAGAAGCATGGGGTTGCTGTTTGTCATTTTCGTCACAACAGAAGTGAAGGTTGTGTACCCTCTCCGACCTGCGGCAAAACCTTTGCCAAACTTAGTGCCATGTGTTCGCATGAGCACAAGGCTCACGGCAACAGATCAGAGCTGACGCTCCTTGCCAAGGGTTCTACTTGCCAAGTTTGCATGACGGAGCATCACACCTCACGCCGTTTGAAATCACAATTGTATGCTGTTCAGCAGTGTAGGGATGTGTACATCAATGCGGCCTTGGGCTGCACAGGAGGCACCTCGGAGGGGAGCCGTACTGCTTGGCGGCCTCCACTTCCTGCTTCAGGTCCCCGGCGACCCTCCAACCACCTACATTTGTTCACCATGTCGATCTTTCTCTTGATGTCGGGACAGTGATGGAACATCTTGTCAGTTGTGTGCCGAACCCGTGCCAAGGGCGCGAACTTGCCTCTCTTACGATGAAGCTTCAGCGTGCCATCTCACAGGAGGGTATCGGATTTCATGTTGGACTTGAGTCTCTGGAAGTTCTGCCAAACAGTTATGCCGTCGATATTTGCAGAGATGTAATCTCTTTTCTTTGGGCAATGTGTGGCTCGAGTGAACGTTCTTTAAATGGCATCTCAGCAGTTTGGCGGTATGATTCTGCCATTTTGGGTTCCAAGAAGCAAGAGCTCGAGCTGTTGGCCAGCTCATGGCTGTGATTATGCCGTTTGAATTCAGCACACGCGAATACGCATCGGCTGAGTAGCAAAGCAAAAAAAAATCACATTCATGACCCTCTCTCGTTGGAGCTTGAGTTGTGAGGTTGACGTCTGCAGTAAAACAGGAATTGGTTCTTGTAGAACACAAAGACACCACAATAAAAAATGATACAAAATTATAGAAATCCACATGGAAACCTCGAGTCCAACATCGAACATCCACCAAGATAGAGAACGACTGAACGGAAACAGTGGAAAACGAAAAAACCCAAAACCATGCAAATCAACATTGCGAAAACTGAAATCACCCCACAAAAAGAGAACATGGAGAAATCAAACATAGAAATAAAATGGAAAACCACCTACCAAAATCGGAAAAATAAGGTAAACCCGAACAAAACATTGAAAAAAAGAGCAATCGAACAATAGAACTGTAAATAGAAGACCACCCAAACGGAAACGTGGAAATCAAAATAGACAAACATGGGAATGTCCAAAACGGTTGATTTCTATTTAGGGCCTGCGGCACGGGC